TGTGGCCCCCCGGGTTGACCCTCTGTGCCTCTCGAGGGGGGCGGGGGCTTTTCTGGTCGCAGTCTCCCTGGGGTCCCTGTGTTCTGGGGCAGCTCCTGGATCTCTGGGACTTGGAGCTCCCACCATCTCTTACACATCTTTAGGGGGCAGATCTGTGGCCCCTCACACTCTCTATTGGACGCTCCTATAGAGAAACCTTACATAAACAAGCGCGTGTACACACACAGGTGCTCACATGGTGCTCTCATAAGTATGGACTTGGGCACGTTCAACACAGGTCTTAAGGCTGTGGTTGGCACTAAATGCACTGTGATTTATTATGGTGTGATTGTTCAGTTAAACGTTGTTGATTTTATATTTCTTCAAGAAGTTGACGCAAAGATAGCTTGATCTTGTTGTATTGTTGTTGTGTCCCTTTTTCTTTAGTTTGTTTTTTGTTTTGTTTTTTTCTTCTCACTTTCTGCAGGTCTAGAAGCAAACTCTTGTTCATTATTGTTTATTTTTGTGGACCCCCCCCCCCCCCCCCCCCCCCCCCCACTCCTCCCCACCTTTTGTCTTTTCCTTCCTCTTTCACCTCTGACTCCGTGTCCGGTCAGAATTACAAAGCATTCAAAAACAATAAAGTTTTAAGTATCAGGCGTGACATGAAAAGCAGACGCTTTGACGCTCCACCTGAGAGTAAATCTGTAAGGCTTGTCACCAGCATTCAGACATCAATTCTTTTTGCTTCACAGCCAGACAGGACACAGGGAATAAAAATAAATAAATAAATAAATGAATAAATGTCCGCTCTGCTGGAATGTCCAACAGAGATTAAATCTGAACTGAAGCAGACTGTCCATCTTTGCCCCCCTCGTGGCTCTGGGGTGCCCCTAGGGTTTGCACTTGCTTCCTTTATGCTTTTATTTTGAAAGATCCATAAATATTTCATGGCTCCATTTATTATTTATCCTGACGGTGTTGGCTGTGGCGTGCTGTTTTACCCTCCCTTTAAAAATAATGTCCACTTATCACTCTCATAAGTATGGACTTGGGCACGTTCAACACATGTCTTAAGGCTGTGGTTGGCACTAAATGCACTGTGATTTATTATCGTGTGATTGTTCAGTTAAACAATGTTGATTATATATTTCTTCAAGTTGACACAGTGATAGCTTGATCTTGTTGTATTGTTGTTGTGTCCCATTTTAATTTCTTCTCTCTTTCTGCAGGTCTAGAAGCAGACTCTTGTTCATTATTGTCTATTTTGTGGAACCCCCCCACCCCCCACCCCCATCTTTTGTCTCTTCCTTTCTCTTTCACCTCTGTCTCCATGTCTGGTCGGAATTAAAAAGCATTCAAAAACAATAACAATAAAGTTTGAAGTATCAGGCGTGACATTAAAAGCAGACGCTTTGATGCTCCACCTGAGAGTAAATCTGTAAGGCTCGTTACCAGCATTCAGACATTAATTCTGTTTGCTTCACAGCCAGACAGGACACGGGGAAAAAATTAAAGAAAAGAATCGTATTTGTTGGAAAAAACAACAAATGGATAGAAAGTTGGAGAGACCTGACTATTTACCTCCTGAAGGAGGAAGGTGCAGAGTAGAAGTTAACGACGACGACGGACAGGTTCACTGGGAGTGCATTTTCCTGTCCCCCGCGTCCTCCCGAGACCCGCACGGTGTGAGGCGGACAAAAGCTAAAATCCAGGCAAGAGCAGGAACCCTACTTTCCTGCAGTGTGATTATTGATTCTGCTGCTCCTCTCTGTGGCCTTCACACACAGATTTATATGGAGCTCACGTCGAATTTTTCTTTTTTCTTCCATCCCTCCGGCTCTCTGCTGAACACCACATGATTCTCTGTGGCTCAGCCAATCACAGACCTGTGTGTGTGTGTGTGTGTGTGTGTGTGTGTGTGTGTTCCTGCAGTCAGGTGATGCTGGTGTTTTTACTAAACATAAACAGATTTTTAGTGGACTAAAATGTTTCTGTCACTAAAACCTGGGCCAAGCGTTGCTGTGCGCTGACAGTGTCGGTGTAAAACCATTTGATGTGAAGAAAAACACTTTTCACTTGATGAAACTCCATTAAAAATGTAGAAATTTAATGGTACCAATATTTCAAAGCACAAACAAGAAGTGAAGAATTGTAGCACGACTGAAGTGTGATATCAGAGCACCTGCATGATGTAATTGCATCGCGGCAAAGTCCGTTAAAGTCATCTCAGGATTCAACGCTAACACAAAGTGACATTTCATCATGAAGAGATGCAAAATCACCAGAGACAGATAAGAAAAGCGCATCAAGAGAGAAAGGGAGTCCACTTTGTATTCATTTGGCATCTCTTTCAGTCTGAGTGTGTCTGATGGAGGAGTGAGGTGAATTAAAACACTCTGCAGGTGTTGGAGAAGAGGAGAAGAACTAATCACAGGCTGTCACACTTTAGAGGGAACAAAATCCCCAAAGTCTCCACAGTCACAAAACCTCTTCTCAAGTTTAACTTCAGCTTGTGTCGAACAAACCCTCTGATGCTTGCTCTGTGACTAGAATTAATTGTTCTTCAGCTGCATCACCTCTAACAAGTGGAGTTCATCAGGGCTCGGTTCCGGGCTCTGTCCGGTTTCACAGTATGTTCTGCCTTTTGGGTCTACTCTTAGAAGGTTTTTCTGGATTTTATTTGATAATCAGATGCTTTGAGATGTTCCACAACCTAAACTTAGAAAAGATTTTCTTACTTTATGGAAAACTTTACCTCTGATCTACTCCAAGTGTGGACAACCTTTGAGGTGTCCCATCTCTGTTCTCTAGTATTGAACTAAAGTATAGCTGGACTTTTAACCTGTTCTTTTATGAGATGATGTCACCGATTTGTTTGAAAGAATTTCTGTCTTTTAAACATTGTTATGGTTTTAATTGATTGTCTTGCTGTTTTTGCTCTACAAACTGAACTCATAAATAAGAAAACACTATTTGCAGACGTGGACGATGTGATGTTGGCCCTTAAAGTCCTAAATGTTCTGGTACTAACTGTTTTTATGTCATTTCATTTATAAAGGCATACTATGCAACTTTTTTATATTTTTTAAATCATTTTCTTGAGCTACTATGTGTTAAAATGAACCTTCAAAGGGTTAATGATATGTCACTCGGACCCCACCGCCCCCTGTGGCGAGAATGTGTCAGAGGCAGGCCACCTCCTGTTGGATTTAGTACTGACATGTGCTAGCACTGCAGTCTGCTTCCAGCACATTTCCTGCCTGTTTCAGCTGTTTCATTTAGTGATGAAGCATAATGTAGACACTAAGGAAGGCTGGGGAGACGCTTCAGCTGTTAGATGAAGGTGTTAAAAAGACAAACGCACATAAAGGAGATGAGTTTCACTTTTGGTTTTACTAACGGACACTAGGGGTGCTAAAAGCAAGCCAAAACTTTAAAGGGACTTTACAGACATTCGCGATTGCCCCCTCAGGCCAAAACGTAGGCTCATGCACGAGGCGCGCATGGTGTACGTGCACACTCCTTAACGAAAATAACAGCTGAGACAGTCCCTTGTGTGTGTGTGTGTGTGTGTGTGTGTGTGTGTGTGTGTGTGTGTGTGTGTGTGTGTGTGTCGGAGGACAGGAGAACGAGCAGCTAATTAATTAAATCATGTGGTTCTGTACCTTTCTCTTCAGCACAGCCGACAAAGGTTTATGATGGGCCAGTCCTCCTGCATGCTCAGATCATTCCCTTCCCTTGCTTGAAAAATTGTTCCAAAATGAAAGTTGAACCCACATCTTTTTTATCTGTGAATTCAATGCCGTTCGGTGAGTCTCAAATAAAAATTTGGGCAACTTACTGTAAAAAATATACCATTAATGTAAAAAAGAAACTCTAAATAAACTATGTTCACATCCAGAATCAAACCCAGGTCTTCCGCACGAGAGTTCAACGTCTTACTTGGTGAGCTAAAGCTCCAGTGATGTCTTTTGTATCTGTAACATTTATATCCTTGATGACAGCTGAAACAACGTCAAACCAAAGAACGGTTCGGAGTGAAAATGGCTATTTTGTTGCTAATTAGCAGGAAATATCTAGAAGAAAGTTCTACAGAAAGTAGCTAAGGGTCCTCAGAAATGTAGCTAGCTTTGTCACTAGGCGTTAGGAACAGCGACAAAGTGGCACTGCCTCTCTCTGCTGCTAAAGCTACGGATAGCAAATGCTACGGGCGATGCCTGAGCGTGAACGCGCATGAAGCAGCCTGCTCGACCCGGGCATCTCTCTTTTTCTGTGATTTTACAGAAAAACAGGCAATCACAGTAAAAATGCCAGGGCTCATTCTACAGGACCAGGGCATTGCAGGAGAATGTATGAAGAAGACATTTATTATTTCTATACATGTTTTAGCTGTCAAACTTCCATAATGCCCCTTTAAAGTATCCCCGAGGAACTGAGCTGCAGACAAACCCACTTATCCAGTAATTTAAATCAACCTTTCCTCCTTTTTTTTTAGTCCTTTTTAGATTAAAGCTGATAGAATAGAAGCTGTTAATTGCTTTTAGATGCTTTGTTCTTCTCACTTATGTTGTTTCTTTATATGCTTTTACCAAAAGTTAGTTCAGTTTATTATTTATCTTTAGAGTTTAAATGTTCTTTCTAACTAAAAGTCCATGTCCTGTTGATGGAAACAGACTTAAAGTGTAGCTTTATCTTTGTCTACAACTTCGGTACCGTGCATGAATAAAAATACACGTTTCCACTCTGCAGCACTGGTAACGTGTGAAGTTTTTAGTGGTTTTCAGTAAATAGAATCTCAAAAATAAGTGTAAATTTTCCAGGGATGTCACTCAAAAAACAGATTTAGCTAAACTAACTCTGGACAAAAGTCCAATTCCGACTGTAATTCTTGACCTTTTTTGCTTTTAAAGCTCATGATTCATTAAAGTTGTCAGAAAAACCTGTGAAGTGATGCTGTGTTTGTGTACACTATTAACACAATTCCCTTCTCCTTGTCTTTGTTGCCATGGCCACCACAGACAGTTGCCAAGCGATGAGGACGGCTCAGTGTCGAGCAACAGCTCAGGGAAGCAGAACACCAGCAAGAGCTCCTCGGCCCGGAGGACCGCAACTGGCAGCAGCAGCAAAAACGCCAAGGAGGAGCTGCACAAAAGGGGCACCAATGGTGAGCGAGAAACAGCTGGATGGTCGGGGTTAAAGGTCAAAGCAAAGATGCTCTAATGCTGGACCAGTGTGTCGATCCATTAGTGCACAGGAAGTGTATCTGCTCACATTACCCACATTTTCAGAAATAATGACGTGAAGTGTGCATGAACACACACATTCTGTGACTCAGCCGAACTAAATCTATGAAGACACCTTCTCACGGTGAAAGCTGTCGCACGTCGACTCACATGCACCGTTTAGAGTCATGTCACATGCTCACATTTAAGTACTCATCAAAGCTGCATAAGGAGGTCACCAGGTTCACGCGTACATTCCAGCTCATAGCCTTACATCCTTTTTGGGATTTCCTTTGCCATAAATGACTAATCAGGCCAAAAATAAGGTTTTTATCTCATTTTCTTTCTATTTCCAGTATTTATTTGAGCTATATGATAAAAATATATTTGAATTGATAAAACTGAGGATAAAGAAATCATAAGGAACTCTTAAACAGATAAAAACATCGACGATGCCTCCGATGCAGCAGGACACTGATGAAAGCCCCATTTGATTCGCTCTTCTCTGCTTCTGCTGGTGACACGCATGCAGCCAGGTGTTCTGCTCATTGACTGTAAAGTCTGCTGGTTGAGGAGACAACGGGCTCTCTCCGTAATGCACTTTGACATGTGACAAAGCAAAGCACTGGTGTAAATAATAGAATTACTGATGGATGACCTCTGCGGCTTCAATCCCTGGTGTTGTGCTATTTGTTGTCACCGGTACTCCAGCGTAACAAACACCACAAGATAAACCTGAACATCAGAAATGCTAGCTTTGTCCTTCTTTAGCTGTTATTATGTGAATCCTACATGTTGGATTAAACCATTAAAACTAGAAAATGTAGTGGGAGAAGAGCTGTAGAGTCATGGTCTTGTGGTGTGGGACTCGAGTATTAGAAAACATTTCTATCACATGCAGTCAAAGGTAAAGCAAATAGATCGATGACATCACTGCATGAAAAAGTCGAGGAGAAGCTGTTGGATGGAAAAAATCTGCAAGCATGTTCTTTGTTTAGAAAAGTTTAAAAAGTGCAGTTTATGACGAATGGATCTCCTGCAGCATCATGTTTTGGTACGACTCTTCTTTTGCTGCCATTCTGGCCCCAAACTATAGCTGTTTCTATAGGACCATAGCGTTTGCAAAACGGGATTCACCGCGGCTCCCTGGGAAGGATTTTGGCATTTATAGTAGCAAAGCTGAAGCTAGACTGCCATCAGGCACCTCTCCAACCAAGACAGGATAAAGGGAGGTCGCTGCCACCCCCCCCCCCCCCACCCCCCCCCACCCCCCGCATGTGACGTACAGAGTTGCGCATTCAACGTCAGATGGAAGACATGTCAGACTGATGAAATTTCTTTTTCAGGACCTTTAGCTGTGATGTGACCTGCTTTTTGTCCCGCTTGACGCCCCGCTCAGCCGGTGTTTCACCACTCTGTCGAACAGCTGGCTGTCTCTCACCATCCCCGTAAAAAGGCGACTAATCTGTTCGTCCGCTCGCACCGCCAAAAGCTCCATGGTCTCCGCGTCCGTCCAGTTTGCCATGCTGTAGGTGGTTGAAAGACACTAGTGAGAGGCCATGTTTATCTGTGTTTATATCCCTTCCGGGCGGCACTCGGTGCGCAGTACACGTCACTAATGCGACCACCCTCTTTTGCCGGGGGTAAATAATAGAGCTCCTGATCAGTAGATCAGTTATGGATCTACATCCAATGAAAACATTCTGACAGTTTTATTAAAGATTGCTAGCAAGCATAAAGACGCCTGGTTAAAGTCCCCCTAAGCAACATGAATGTTTGTCATCTGCCGTGACTCTGGGGTAATGATGCTTCGTGCTTTCTACATGCATCCTCACAATCTGCATCAATATGTCTGCTGTTTTGTGACGCCCACCTGATGTCCAACCTTCACTTTCATGCTACGGCAACAAAAAACACGCGCTGACACGCCGAGCTTCTGCTGACACGAATGCTGGTTGACTCTGAGTTTGAAGTTGTTGTGATGTCAGTCTGAGCGTGAGTCACTCTGGATTCAGAACCACTCTCCATCTGCTGCGCCAAGCAGTGACTTATGATAAAGCCTTCGACACAAAGAGCCTCGAGTTTCAGGTTCATCGTGTGCAGAAATCATCTCACCAGAACAAAACTTCAAAAATCACCTTTCAGAAACGTTAGCGTTTAAACTCTTTCATTTGAATTGTTTTAGAGCCTTTTTGTTGGAAGAATCTGATATTAATGTGTGTGTGTGTGTGTGTGCACATGTGTGTGTGTGCATGTGTGTGTGAGTTTGTGCATGTGTGTGTGCATGTGTGTGTGTCTGTGTGAGTTTGTGCATGTGTGTGTGTGTTTGTGTGTGTGTCTGCGCGTTTGTGCTTGTGTGCGTGTGTGTGTGCACGTGAGTTTGTGTGTGTGTCTGTGTGAGTTTGTGCATGTGCATGTGTGTTTGTGTGTGTGTGTGTGTGCGCGCGTGCCTGCGTGCGTGTGTGTGTGTGTGTGCATGTGAGTTTGTGTGTGTGTGTCTGTGTGGGTTTGTGCATGTGGGTGTGTGTGTGTGTGCGCACGCGCACGCCTGCGTGCGTGTGTGTGTGCATGTGAGTTTGTGTGTGTGTGTCTGTGTGAGTTTGTGCATGTGTGTGTGTGTGTTTGTGTGTGTGTGTTTGCGCGTTTGTGCTTGTGTGCGTGTGTGTGTGTCTGTGTGAGTTTGTGCATGTGTGTTTGTGTGTGTGTGTGCGCGCGCGCCTGCGTGTGTGTGTGTGTGTGTGTGTGCACGTGAGTTCATGTGTGTGTCTGTGTGAGTTTGTGCATGTGTGTTTGTGTGTGTGTGTGTGCGCGCGCGCCTGCGTGCATGTGTGTGTGTGTGCATGTGAGTTTGTGTGTGTGTGTGTGTCTGTGTGGGTTTGTGCATGTGGGTGTGTGTGTGTGCGCGCGCGCCTGCGTGCGTGTGTGTGTGCATGTGAGTTTGTGTGTGTGTGTCTGTGTGAGTTTGTGCATGTGTGTTTGTGTGTGTGTGTCTGTGCGTGTGTGTGTGCATGTGAGTTTGTGTGTGTGTGTCTGTGTGAGTTTGTGCATGTGTGTGTGTGTGTTTGTGTGTGTGTCTGCGCGTTTGTGCTTGTGTGCGTGTGTGTGTGTCTGTGTGAGTTTGTGCATGTGTGTTTGTGTGTGTGTGTGCGCGCGCGCCTGCGTGCGTGTGTGTGTGTGTGCATGTGAGTTTGTGTGTGTGTGTGTGTCTGTGTGGGTTTGTGCATGTGGGTGTGTGTGTGTGTGCGCGCGCGCCTGCATGCGTGTGTGTGTGCATGTGAGTTTGTGTGTGTGTGTCTGTGTGAGTTTGTGCATGTGTGTTTGTGTGTGTGTGTCTGTGCGTGTGTGTGTGCATGTGAGTTTGTGTGTGTGTGTCTGTGTGAGTTTGTGCATGTGTGTGTGTGTGTTTGTGTGTGTGTCTGCGCGTTTGTGCTTGTGTGCGTGTGTGTGTGTCTGTGTGAGTTTGTGCATGTGTGTTTGTGTGTGTGTGTGTGCGCGCGCGCCTGCGTGCGTGTGTGTGTGTGTGCATGTGAGTTTGTGTGTGTGTGTGTGTCTGTGTGGGTTTGTGCATGTGGGTGTGTGTGTGTGCGCGCGCGCGCCTGCGTGCGTGTGTGTGTGCATGTGAGTTTGTGTGTGTGTGTCTGTGTGAGTTTGTGCATGTGTATGTGTGTGTGTGTGTGTGTGAGTTTGTGTCGGTGTGAGTTTGTGCATGTGTATGTGTGTGTGTGTGTGTGAGTTTGTGTGTGTGTGTCTATGTGAGTTTGTGTATGTGTGTGTGTGTGTGTGTGTGTGTGTGTGTGTGTCGGTGTGAGTTTGTGCATGTGTATGTGTGTGTGTGTGTGTGAGTTTGTGTATGTGTGTCTATGTGAGTTTGTGTGTGTGTGTGTGTGTGTGCGCGCGTGTGTGTGCGCGCGTGTGTGTGTGTGTGTGCATGTGTGTGTGTGAGTTTGTGTGTGTGTGTCTGTGTGGGTTTGTGTGTGTATGTGTGTGTGTGTGTGAGTTTGTGTGTGTGTGTCTATGTGAGTTTGTGTGTGTGTGTGTGCGCGTGTGTGTGTGTGTGTGTGTGTGTGTGCGTGCGCGCGTGTGTGTGTGTGTGTGTCTATGTGAGTTTGTGCATGTGTATGTATGTATGTATGTGTGTGTGTGTGTGTGTGTGTGTGTGTGTTTTGAACAATTTTGTTGCGCTTTTTCTGTGTTTCTGGTTAAAAAGCCGTGTTTCTTCCTCCCAGATCTGTACGAAGACCACTCCAGCTCTCTGCGCCTCATCACCATTAAGCCCATGACGGCCCAGCCGACCTACTCCTACCCCTCGTCCTCGTCACACAGCCAGGACTCCGTGGTCGTGAATGGGGAGGTGAGTCAAAGATTAATTTTGAATAAGTTAAAACTTTAGAGAATGATATAAATTTTATATTATATTGAATTAAATGTCACATTGCAACACATCCAGCTTTAAATCTGACCAAAGAAGAATTCTCATCTGACATTTTCCCCTTTCAGTCATCTGTTCTTCCATCCTCTGCTTCCTAAGGTGTGACATCACATCTCCTCTGGGACACATTGGAGTGATACTGATTTTAGTCACTTCCTCCCCTTTGATGTCTCTCCCCGTTTGTCACACACGTCTCACTCTTGTCTCGTTGTACCTCAGCCTCCCTGTGCGTCTGCACCTGAAACAGCCACATTACAAACGCTTCCTCTGCACGTGACCCGCATCATAATACCAGAAAACCCCTCCGGGCTTCTCCAGTGTCCTAATTCATCTGCTGCTATTTGATTTCCTGATTTTTCTGAAGAAGAAATGTAACATCACATTTCCATTTTCATTCTAAGTAAACTGATTCTGTAAAGTTTGATGAGCTGAGTTTGAAACTTGACTTCATGGTTTCCAGGCGAATCACGTGGGTCTAAAACAGAAGTCGGACATCGAGCACTACAGGAACAAACTGCGCCAAAAGGCCCGGAGGAAAGGCTACGGAGAGTTCTCCCTCTCCGAGAGCCTGAACCACGGCTACGGTCACCGAGATGGCAGACACCATCGACTCGAGAATGGAGGCAAATCGCCGATGACCGCTGAGGAGAAAAGGGCCTCGTTTGCAGGATGCCACAAGAGGTGAGGAGCCGAGCGTGTGGGTGGTTCTGGGTAGCGCTCACGAAAGGGAACGAAGTATGTTTGTGTAGCTAAACTCCTGCTGATGGCTTCAGCAGCTCCTTCCAGAGGAACGGCGTCCTTCATAACTGATGAGCTCACGGCGTGTCCAATCACGCCTTTCATCTGAAGTTCGGATCAAGTTGAGATGCAGAAAAAAAACACGATGAGATTAAAGCGACACGACAATGAAAAGACTGATTTACGGGCCATAAAAAGAAAATCAGACACATTTAAATCCAGTTAAAATCCATCAAAGGCTTTTAAACGACCCTTCAAATTATTAATGAAAAGCTTTCCATTTTTGTTTCATTTTAATTTAATTTAAACTAAAAGCTGCCAGATTCCACCAGGCTTCTGTTCATCAGGTCTCTGAACTGCATTTTATAGCTGATGTGTACAAATCACTTTCAGATTTAACTGCAGTTTTCTGCCTAATAGTTTAATAACGTCATTGGAGCAGCGCAGTTGCTAAGCAACCTGTAAGAAGCTGAAGCTGGGTGAGATCTGGAATGTTTTACAGCTCGGTGGGAAAATCTACTTTTTCTGTAATTCGTGGCTTCCTAAATCCTGAATAAAGAAATGAAACATGTGGCCTACTTAAGCCGAACCCATCATGAGATTCAGATCAGAGACAAAGTAAGATGTTTTATTTAATGGCTCTGTTCTGCTGGGTTCCACTGCAGAACTTTCTAACAGAACCACATGACCTGATGTACATTCTAAATACTGGAGCAGATTTATAACAAGATAATAAACGTTTGACAGCATTTATATTATGGTGCACCCAAACCCGATGGTTCATCTGCAAGAAACACATTTTTATCTTCCTGCATCATTTTCAAGTCGATCAGATTTTAACTTTATATATTTTTTAGATTAGATCATTTTTAAAGCTCTCAAAATGAGAATGGGTTCATAGCCTCTAAACATCAGAACAAGAAGAGTGTAATGAGCATTTTTAAAGATATTCCTGTTTTTGTCCTGTACTTTATTTAATTCCAAAAGGGTAGAATGCCTTCTCCGGGTCAGGGACGAGGTCCTGCCCCAAGTGGAGGAGTTTAAGTATCTCGGGGTCTTGTTCACGAGTGAGGGAAAACTGGAGCGTGAGATCGATAGGCGGATTGGTGCTGCGTCTGCAGTGATGCGGGCGTTGTACCGGTCTGTCGTGGTGAAGAGAGAGCTGAGTCAGAGGGCGAAGCTCTCGATTTACCGGTCGATCTACGTTCCTACCCTCACCTATGGTCATGAGCTTTGGGTAGTGATCGAAAGAATGAGATCGCGGATACAAGCGGCCGAAATGAGTTTTCTCTGAAGAGTGGCTGGGCTCTCCCTTAGAGATAGGGTGAGAAGCTTGGTCATTCGGGAGGGGCTCAGAGTAGATTTGCTGCTCCTCCACATCGAGAGGAGCCAGTTGAGGTGGCTCGGGCATCTGGTCAGGATGCCTCCTGGACGCCTCCCTGGTGAGGTTTTCCGGGCACGTCTAACCGGGAGAAGACCTAAAGGTAGGCCCAGGACACGGTGGAGGGACTATGTCTCTCACCTGGCCAGGGAACGCCTTGGGATTTCCCCGGAGGAGCTGGCCCAATTGGCTGGGGAGAGGGAAGTCTGGGCCTCTCGCCTTAGGCTACTGCTCCCAAGACCCGACTCCGGATAAGCGGATGAAAATGGATGGACGGACGGACGGACTTTATTTAGTTCCAGGGGCATTTCTCAGGAAGCAGGCTCTTTTTCATCTTGTGTGTTGGTTTTCTCTGAAGGAACCGGGCTGGAAACACATCAGCAGCTAGTAGAGATGCACCAATATGAATTTTTTTGTGCCAATACCGATATTCGATATGAATATCACTGTTCTGGCCAATAACCGATATTTGCTGATACCGAGAAACTGACATTAATGCTTCTAAAATCTACAGATTTTGTATAGAATGAAAATTATTAAAGCTGAATTTATGTTATATGTACACACAACACAGTTTTCAGATGATTTCGTTCTTTGTTCACATGACTAAACAAATACACATCCCCCCCAACCCCCCCCCCCACCCCCACCCTCTGAAACAAACAAACAAATGAAGACCAGATGGAACTAAATTGGTCGTTAATATCGACCCGGTTTTACTTATCGAACTGATTCCGATATGTTAAAAAATTACTAGCATCGGCCGATATCGATATTGATGCCGATATATTGTCCATCCCTAACCATCACTGTTACGGCCGATAACCGATATTTGCAGATACTGATTTATGTTTTTGAAATCAGTAAATTTTGTATAGACTGAAGTTATGCAAGCAGAATTTTTGAATGGTTTGCTTTATTTCTATAAAGTGGAATTTGCAATATGTTACACACACGCACACACACACACACACACACACACACACACACACCACATTTATGCTTCTGAGATGATTACCAACAGTTACACTCCCCCCACCCCCACCCTCTGACACAGATACACAAACGGAAACAAGATGGAAAAAATGTCTGTTGTTAATATCGGTCCAGTTTTTCTTATCTTATGGGGCGACGGTGGCACAGGAGTTAAGTGCTCGCCCCGCAATCGGAAGGTTGCAGGTTCGAGTCCCGCTCAGTCTGTCGCTGTCGTCGTTTCCTTGGGCAAGACACTTAACCCACCTTGCCTGCTGGCGGTGGTCGGAGAGACCGGTGGCGCCAGTGCTCGGCAGCCTCGCCTCTGTCAGTGCGCCCCAGGGCAGCTGTGGCTACATTGTAGCTCATCCCCACCAGTGTGTGAATGTGTGAATGACTGATTGTGTTGTAAAGCGCCTTGGGGGGCTCCAGGACTCTAGAAGGCGCTATATCAAATACAGGCCATTTACCATTTATCAGAACGATACCGATATGTTAAAAAAATGACAAGCATCGGCTGATACCGACATCGATGCCGATATATCGCGCATCCCTACCAGTTTGTTTTCTGACACTAGCTGGAATCTTTGGAGTGGTTAGGCTTGGTTAAAACTCCAGCGTTCCCAACAGCATTCCTGTAGGCAGCAGTCTGAGCGCCAACGTTTCACAGAACTGAAAAAGAGTTTTTATGTCTAAAACTTTTCATCCAGCCATGTTGGATGTGTGTGTGTGTGTGTGTGTGTGTGGGGGGGGGGGGGGGGGGGGGGCTGGTCCTGACGTTCCGAGTCACTTTTCTGACATTCTTGCTTGTTTTCCTCCAACACGCTGTAGGGTTATACTACAATAACTACCAATCCAATAATGGAATTTCCTGTTTGTGGGCGTAAATGGAATGGTCGATAGGCCGGTAGCGTCAACCCTGAGCCGATTTCAGGGGCTTTTTGCCGTGGAAGACAGAAACTGGAGGAAAATCTTTGGTGTTTAACAGATTTACCTCATGATCAGAGATGATCTTAGAGCAGCGTCAGAAGCATTTCCCTCCACTAGAGCCCCTCCTGTTACTCTGATAATGAAACGGTTTTGTCCAGCAGTGTGACGTCAGACTTTAGGGTCAAAAGGTCTGACGGTGGATCTTGTTGTTGCACCAGTAACATGGACCTGACCCAGAGTGGTTTCTGGTTTCCAGGTACTCCCACCCGCGAGAACCCACCTACTGGAGCCGACAGTCCCTGAGCAGCCCGAGTCCGGTGGAGACGGAGATGGACCTGCTGGTACTCAGGGAGAGATCCAGGAGAGGCATCCGCAATAACGGCTACGACGTGAGTGTCTGCACAGGGCTGTGGCTCCTCCGGATCGATAAAACACCGAGCGGAGCGAGCTGAAACGTTTAAATTCAGGAGAGGAGCAGGGAATGAAAGTCAGTTCAGCTGGGAGTTTAGCTGTTTGAAACCATCCTACCAGGACCTCTGGCCAGTAGCAAGAACGCTAAAGCTCTGAGGTTCTGTGACCCGGCGAGTCATAAACCGCAGGGATGAAACCGGGTCACCTGGTGGCTCCGAAAACTCTGCAGCTTGGTCAGTTTAGTTAATGAATCTTTGGAGAGTATTTCTAACTTGTTTCCTTCCTCTGCCCGCTCCCTGGAGCTTTTAAGTCAGACCAAGAGGATTAACAAATTACCCTCCAATGAACTTTATGAGCCAGAACAGAATGGAGATGAGACGACGGAACA